TCTCAGAGAAATACAACATAGGTGAAGGAAACTTGCAATCAAAGTCTGTTACCAAGTCTGTATGTGATAATCAAGATAGACCAAGTATTATATCGCAAATCTTTACTGTCTTCTGAATAACACTTGATTGGAGGTAAATAGGTTCACCTGACAATTTTTCTGAGTTTCTCACAAGTAAAATTGCTCTGTTACTTCAAAGCACAATTGGGCAAAGTCTTGGGAGATTATTTGGCCAATTTTGTAGAGTATTTCTTGCCCCATTTGGCTTCTTTAATAGATATCCTGGATAGGGTATCTAGGCTTGGATTCAGGAAGTAATATCTCTTTGAGTGAAATGGGAGCTATTACTACCTACCTTGAAGTGCATGGTATTATGTCCCATTCTGAAGGGATTATATCTCAAACCAGTGTAATAGTTAACTTGCATCCAATCTCCAACTTTTTCTTTGGGAGAAGATGTGGGTGCATTAATCTAGCAGTAGATTATTTTAGAAGAATTGAATAACCAAGATTCAGGACTTGAGAAAGCTGTCACATAAAGTTTGTTAATAATATAGAGAAATAATCAATTAGGTTACCAACCTTAGTGCTGGTGCTAAGTGCTCCATGCCATATGCAGCATTGCCTGTTAACTGTAAGGATTGCCTGTAAGGATACCATACTGGTTAATTCTGTGATACATTTTAGCTAATACACCAAGCACAACAAAGCTCATGTTGATACTATTCTGAATAAACCAGGATCTACAATCTACAGATACCTTGCAGGTTAATATAGTATTGCCCTTATCTCATTAACTAGAAAGTGCATACAGTGTATTGACACACACTCAGGATATTTCAACTCATTTCAGAAAGACTGTAAGGAAAAAGGTGAAATAATCCCTCCCACACCTCCAATCATCTGAGAAGCTAGAGGAAATCTATGATATCAAAGTAAAATGAGGATGATATGAAGAGTTGAGATACAGCCAGTTATTGAAGCATTAGTATTTATGAAGTGAGAAGATTGAATGAACCGCCTTAAATTCAATATCTAAAAATGCTCAGAAAAACAATATTGGTTTTAAATCTACCCCCAGGCAAGGAAAAGAACTATGTTATAGCTGGAATTTCATATATTTGAGTTCTGACCATGGACATTTAAATGCTTCTGTTGCTTGTAATTACCATAAACCACTGAGCAAGGATTTCTGATTGCAGTGGATATGAAAATGAATATAAATCAAATAAATGACTTTTAAAGCATATTATCTCATAATCACCAAGGAAGAGAAAAAGCTAATTTTTACTTCTTCCGGGTAACGTTTAAAGTGCAAAAACCTTTGCAGAACATACTTCATGAAATAAAAGTAGCAGGGAATGTAGCACAGGAAATTAAAATTGTGCAAAATATAAGTTATCTCTCCCCTTGATTAGTTACAACTGTGTGTATCTGTCTGTGTGCGCGTGTGAGCATGTGTAAAAACACTCAGTTCTTGCTTCTTTGAACTTGTGTAATTTCACACTCACGTTATCAGTAAAAGCAAAAGTGCTGGGCAGGGCAAAGAGTTTGTTTTATTTATTAAATTTATTTGCCATCCATCTCATTTTGAGCATCTCTGGGCTGCTTATACCATAAAAACATTAAAATCGGAGATAAATATTCCAACACTATGAAATGAAGAGTTTGAGTTGAGGGTAATATGCCTTGGTGTATGGAATGGAGGGAGGAAATCCCAGGACCCAGGAGGAAAAGGCAGGGCTGCAGCCAGTGGGAAACCGCCTGCCCCACAGCTTCAAAGAAATGCTGCCAAAGCCTTTTCTTCTGGAGCAAGAGGGGAGCTGATAGTTAACGGGCTCATCTTTCTAAGCCCCATCGCATTGTGGGGACATGGAAGAGTGTGGTGCCAGCATCAGCCTGGCACAGTCAATGCATCTGAAAAGAGCCTTATTGGTCGTACTTGAAAACTTTATAAGTTGCCCTTCAGTTTAGAGAATTCACAGGGCAACTCGCAAAAACATTTTTCCCTCCAGCAATTAAAACAAAAATAAGACCTGCCATTTCCTCATTTGCTTTCTTGCTCCCCTCTCCTGTAAAAAAAAAAAAATTCTCCTGTACCTTTCTTCTTTACCATAAACGAATTAGGCCTTTGACACTGAAGCATTTTTGAGTATACTCTTTTTCCCTCTTTTTTAGCTTTAGTTTAACACCCTAATGAAGCTGTTAATTTGCTTCATCTTTTTTTTCCCCTTCCTTTTTACACTTATAAATAAAAACATTTGTTCCCATTTTTCAAAGTGTGAAGAGCTGCAGCAGAAGCCATCAATTAACACAGGCAGACAAGGCCAGAGTCCTTCCTCTCTCCCCCCGCCTTCCTTCCCAGCAAACTGTAAAGATTTCCATGCTGTGCTCCTTGGAGGGTGAAACTTGGGAGGAACATGAAGTGGAAAGTCCCTTTACCCCTCCTTTGCATCTGTAGTGTAAACCTGCAAGGGCTTTTTAGCAGCAGCTGCTTTGAGAGAGAAATAGCAGGAAGATCTGGGCAATGGAGAGGTGCACTCGCTTCCAGAGAGCTTTCCAACATTGACCAAAGTTGCCAGCTGTTGTCTGTGGCATACCAAGTACCACTTTCTCTTTTCACCCACTTGCAAGAAGCAAACTTCTGCCCCAAGTCGTTTAATTAGCCTGATCTTCTAAAGAGTTACACATAATATCCCTGCGGAATAATTTTACGAGGCAGCCATGAGTGCCGAAAGAATTCAGCGAATGCACCGCCTGAAATGCAATCTAACAGATAACACACTGGCTAGGGGTCTTCTTCAGAAGCCAACCTCCACTTTTAAATACAGTTCTGCTCTTTCATGAGCCTTTAACCAGACTTTCATTCAGAATGGGAATGAGACAGCCTGAGTTTTCAGGGAGAATGACAATTATAATAATAGCAGCAAGGAGGTGGCGTATAGAATGTTGTGATAAATAATCAAACAGTCCTGCAAACGTTACAGAAAGTGAGCTCTCTGCTCAAGTTAGGAAGAATACAAGAAACTGCTTCATGCTGAGCCAAGCAGACTATCAAAGCTCCTAGTTCAGTACTGCAAGTGCATAAAGGCAGTGGCTTTTCCAATTTTTCAATAAGGGCTTTCTATCCTTCCTCGAAGATGCTGAGGATGGTGGAACTTAGTATGTCCCATTGTAAAAATGTGGGTTCTTCCAGAGAACTTGAATCTCTTTAAATTTTAAATGCTTTTGAAAGTAAAGCTTTGATTGCACTAATTTTCCTTGGTCAAAAAGAGGAAAAAATAGGGACTTCTTTGGCAGGCTTGAGAAAATTTCACCAATGACGTGAACTATGTTGGCAATAATACCAAATCCAATGAAAAAGTGAAATGCAGTTTTTTCTTGGGTTGATAATATCCCAACCTAATTGCCATTCTACAGTTAAAGGGAAATAACTTCCGGAACCATAACGGAAAGTTAGTGACCTGCCAATTGGCTTAAGGAAAGTGGAGGCTCTCAAAAAATTATCATGAGGAATCTTTTGTTTTTGATATCTTGAAAGGTTGCAAAGCCATTGCAAATTCTTGGTTGTCTTCAGAGCAGCTTATGAGGGAATGCTGCTATCCATATGTGTGATTTGTGTAATAAGCTGAAAATCCTTCTTACTGGCTGGGGAATTATGGGAGAAGAAGCCTCACACATCTGGAGGGCTGGTTGAGTGTAACACTAGACTTTTCTTTTAAAATTCATTTTCTTCTCACCGAGGTTTTCACATAGTGTTAGAAACAGTAGAATGTTGCTGATGTACAATAATTTATAAATGGCATCAACCTGCTAACTAGGAAGGCATATTTTTGGCCAGCAAGCATAAAACCAAAAGGAAGGAAGCAACTGGTTCTTCCAGCCTTGTCCAATATTGGGAGCCAGCCATACATTGACATTTGGAGTGGCAATAAAATCTCCTGCTTACCTGCCCAAACATCTTACAACCAGTGTCTCTTACACAGCTCTGAATGAAATCCTCCTTGAATTGTTTTTTCTTCCTTTCCCTCCCTCCTTCTATGTCCTTGATCATTGCTTGAACTTGTATCTGTACTTGGTAGAACTTAAACAGGAATTTAAGCCATGTGCATAATAAATTGCATCGACGGAGTTCACTTTTCTTTTGCATTAATGACATTTATATAGCTCCCCATCTCACAAAAAGTGACTCTGGTGGTATACAACAATCAAATCACATTAAGCAATGGCATATCACATAGCTTCTTTGTCACAACTCTCTGGGTGGAATCAGATTCATTTCTCAGGCTAAGCTGGGGTGGGACATTCTGTGAAACTGAAAGCAGTGAGAGCCCAACAAAGAAGAAAATGGAGGGTGAGATCTCAAGGCTTCTGTCCTCCTCATGGAGTAGCATGCTGGCTAATTACCCAACTGGCAGGAGAAAATCACATGGGCAAAAGTCCCATCACTCTGGAAATCGCTCAGCAGATGTGTCTGCTATGGTATCAGCTAGCCGACAGGTTAGACAGTATATCAATCGGGGCATCATGCTTTTCTGCGGTATAATTAATCATTTTTCCTCAAATATAGACTGTTTATAATTATAACATGACTGTCATTATGGTTTATTTTTCCAACTTCCCAGATTCTCTTATATGATCCTCTTGCCACTATAGACACTGCTGACACAAACCAGCCTTTTAGAGCAAGGTTATCTATGCTTTTCTATGATTTGATTTCTGCACCCATATGTTTATTTAGTTAGCTCAGTTACTGTATAATCTGTCCACCCATGAGTATTGCAGACTCTTTCTGCCTGCCCAGCCGCACTATATTTTATCCTTGGAAAAGCTGGAATGGAACTCCTAGGATCTTATTGAGGTTGCTACAGAACTCGTGTTTGTTTTGGCACAATTGCTAGCAAGGGGAACTTTGAGAGATTCTGGAACTCCAAATGCATGCATATATAAGAATGGGCCCTTTTTATCCCCATCAGTACTGGAGTTACCTTATTTTACTGACCTGCATTTCAAGGACATTGTGTATGCAAAAGGCTGGTAATGTTGCTGAATAGGTTTCTTTGTGCTCCTGCATTTCAAAACAACAACAAATATTCCCAGAGTTGGTTTCTTGCTTTTTAAATGTTGCTAAGCAAACATTTTCCTCCACCTTTGCTATCAAAGTAAAATTAATTCACAAGCAGTAGCACTGCATGGACATGGCTGGTCAGATGACAGGGAAGTGATGAAGGAAGCTCCTAAGACGGACATAGAAAAGACATCCTTTACTACCATGAGCAAGTGTGCCAACTTCAAGCAGCGATATAATTGGCACCATCTTCGCAGAGACCTCCTTTAGAGTAACACCAGATTCACCCTCCAGGGCATAAGAGGTTTTTTTTTTAAAAAAAATCCTCTGCCTTTATAGAGCTTCTGTACTCATTGGGCAATTCTTTCCAAGCTCATATTCGTTGTTGTCTTACTACTATTTGCAGTTTTCTAGCATGCTCTTATTTCTAGAGATTTGACTTATTTTTTTGGCATGCTAGATTATTTATTTATTTATTTATTTATTTATTTATTTATTTATTTATTTATTTATTTATTAGTTCGATTTATATGCTGCCCTTCTCCGGAGACTCAGGGCGGCTTACAATGCATTAAGTAATAGCCTTCATACTTTTGTATATACCTGCTTAATAGGGCTTCCCCCCCCCACAAGCAGTGTTCTATTTTATACAAAGTCATCTTATTGCCCCCATAATCCGGGTCCTCATTTTACCTACCTCGGAAGGATGGAAGGCTGAGTCAACCTTGAGCCTGGTGAGAATTGAACTCGCAGTAATTGCAGACAGCTGGCAGTTAAGTGCTACTTTAACAGCAGTTTAGTCCGCTGCGCCAAACTATGCAAAAAGATACGTTGCTCTCACAATTAGCAAGGCAGCTGAATATTGCTATTAGGAGCCAGACTAGTGTTATCTGTATTAGCTGAAGCTTCCAATGACTTATCAAGGACAACCCTATGGCAGAGAATTTTCTCATAGTATTAACAGTTATTCCACTTTTGCAATTGTGTACATGTTTCAAAATATTGCCCTAACATAAAGTTGCCAGGACAGTGCCTGTTTCACTCCATGTCAAAAGAATTGCCAAAGCAGTTTTTAATGTATAACCATCCTGATACATCCACAAAATGTAATTGGGGGTGGGGGAGAGAGGAAGGGGGAAACCAGGTAGTTTCCATTTTCATGCTTTCCCACGAGTTCTTTTTTTTTTTTCTCATTAAGGGAGAAAAAAGGGTACTGTATGGTGTTTTTTAATGCCTGTAAACATTTTTGAAAAGCAGCTATAATCAATGTGGGCAAATTCCCTCATTATACATTTGAAACTGTTAGACACGTAGGCTATTTCAGTCCATGAGTGTCTGCAAGGTATGGTCAGAAAACTCAACATAAAAAAAAACAGATGGAGCCATTGCCTTGACTGTTTTGACCATGCCCCGTGGAGACCCAATCCTCTTCCTCCTCCTTTCCATTTAAGAAAGTGTTGATTCCTGGTGATTTCCAGAACTAATTCCGACAGTTTTCTTGCCCACATTTTCAGAAGTGGTTTGTTATTGCCTTTTTTCTGGGGCTGAGAGATTCTGACACTTTTTGCTTTCAATTGTTTCCAGGCATTTCTTTGTCAATTCCAAACTGGTACTCCTGAGCTTATAGTATACATTTATTTATTTATTTATTTGGCAGTATTTATATGCCGCCCTTCTCCCAAAGGACTCAGGGCGGCGAACACAGGTTAAAAACATACAATGATAAAATAATAAAATCCTGTTAAAACCAAATTAAAATCAATAAATAATAAAACCCAAGAATCAGCATCAGCCCATTCGTTGGAATAGCCAAGTCTTCAGGCCTCGACGGAAGGAGCGGAGATCCGGGGCCATCCGGAACTTGGTGGGTAGTTTGTTCCAAAGGGTAGGGGTGCCCACAGAGAACGCCCTACCCCTGGGTGTCGCCAGAAGGGATTACCTGGTCGACGGTACCCTGAGGAGAGCGGCTCTGTGACAGCGGACAGGACGGTGGGAAGCAGGCAGGAGATGGTCATTAATTGTGAGCCCCAAACAGTAATACAGGATGAAAACAAAGGCTAGTTAAAAGTTATCCCAGGGCACTTTAAACAGGTTCTTATTAGGTGCTGAAGTATAAACCATATATTGGGAAGGCAAATAAGGTTTATCTTAGGGTCTGTAATTTAGTAATTTCACTTCTAAGCAGGTGGTCTTTCAGAGTGGAAGATTTTCCCAGATCATCCTAGAGAAGCCAAGAAGCAAACCTGGGAGAATGCAGAACAGATAACCTGCCTTAAGCTATAGACCAGGGGTGTTAAACTTGTGGCCCGCAGGCCAGATGTGTCACATGCTGGCCCCACCCCCACCCAGTTTAGCAAAGGGGGGAAAAGTCCCGATATGTTACACAATGCTGCCAAGACAACGCGAGTTTGACACCCCTGCTATAGGCCAATCTTCATTTTGTTTTCTCATGATAAAAAACTCAGTTAAGTTTCTGCAGTTCTTCTGCATCTCCAGTTTGTCACTTCTGTTGCATCTTCTATGTGTCTATCCAGGTCCCCACCCAGAGCGCCAGTCTTCTGAACCCACCAGAAAATTGACTTGGAGAGATTAAGAACCCTTCAAAATACACTTCAAGAGTTCACAGAGAAAAGCAACTCTCTCTGAATGAATAGAAGGGTATTCTGTTCATGCAACAAAATCTTTCCATTGTGAGATTGAAGAGCATCTTTGCTTCAGATACATTGGGACAATAATGTGCACGAAACCACTTTGTACCAATTCTTTAAACAACTCCCATTCTCCCTGGATTCGTAAAATAGTATGAGATGTATGTCCAATAATTTGAAGCTGGAAAATTGTTAAAGTTTATAGTGTGAGAGTATGTGAATGATGAAATCTCTAAAAAAGAACTGCTGTTCATGACAAAAATAGAAAAAGGAACAGAAGATTACATTGATTTCAGACCTGGACAGTCCGTAGAATAAGTGCCATTCCAGTTAGGAAATCCAGATGCAGGTAGACTGAAATACTTCTTGAGACTACCAGATTAGGAGAACATTAGTTCCTCTATGCTGAGCCAAATGTAGAGATTTTTCTTATTGCTTTTTTTTTAAAAAAAAAGAAAGAATTAAGCTCCAAAGGCCATTTGTAATAGATTGACATAAATCCTTAAATCAGGGATAGAAGGATAGAGAACATGTGGTGCTCCAAATACTGGGGAACTACAACTTTCAACAACTCCAGCCAATAATGAGAGGTGCTGGGAGTTATGGCCCTCCAGATGTTGCTGAACTTCAAATTTTCAGTCCTTGTCTTGATTCATTCCATATTTGTTCAAATGAATATTATGCCACTTGAGGAATAGTCTCTTAAATAAATGACAAAGAACCTATTATGTCTAAGAACATGGAACATTCTCTGTGAGGTCAATGATCTGTCACAGTGGTACAAAAACACTATTGAGAACATATTGGAATCCCCTGATCTGTCTTCTAAACAGCAAGCATAAGTCGTGGCAAGTCTGTACTACTCATTACTTCAAGCTGAGAAACCATAGCAGCCTGTTCTCCTGTTAACACAGATTTATTTCCAACAGCACATGTACTAACATACTTTAGTACTTTAGGGAAAAAAATGCCCCAATCAGTTATATTTGTTAGATGTGGCCAGTATTTTCATTGTAGATGAATGAAGGCAAGTGATTGGCCATCTGAGAAGTCCAAGACTAAACTGGACTTTGAATCTAAGCATCTCTGATCCCAGTTTAGAGAACAAATACATGTGCTTCTGAGTAAAGAGATTATTGTGTAAACAAGTTAAACTTTTTACGCAGAATTCCCAGTACTTCTAGTTAATTCTCACCACACTATTCCACATCCCATCTCCATCTGGCTGATTAACACCCTTTAGGAATCTGCAGATTTATTCCCCAGCCCCTATCTTATATTAAATAAGATATTTATAGATCTGAAATTATGCCTGCAAGATATTTTCATCCTTACACATGCCCTTAAATGTTTCTCAAAAAGTAACAGAACTCTATGCAACATAGCTTTTAAATATTCAGATCCTCTAGCACAAATATAATCAAAGCATTTCAAATGTAAAATACTTGAATTACCAATCAGGCAGAAAGTACCATGATCTAGTTAAAATTGCTTAAACCTAGTTCAAATAGCCATGCAGAAGTTCACTTTGGAATATGCTGGAGAGTCTGAGCTTGTCAAAATTAATTTCTTATTTTGGGCAGAATGTGGAGCAATCCTCATTTGTGTCAATTGGATTCACTGAAGTATATATGTATTTTTCTTTTTAAAATTAGTGGTGTTTATAACAGATTAACGTTGGCTGAATTGTGCCCTCCCACCCTTTTATCTAATTCACCAGCTACCTAATCTAATCACCACAACGACTCATTCCAAAGTTTTCAGACTACTCATGAATATGAGATTCATACATTAAGTATATCATGCATGGAAATATTTGCTTGCAAGATTTTTCCCCCCGAATATTGCTTAAGAGCCAGAAATTGTATACTGCTGCATTGTAAAGGCGTCTAGATCGCTTAAAATGAATCTTCTATCTCCTTGTTGACTCTATGGGAACGCAGGTGTTTCATGGATGAAAAACCTGAACAAAAATATGCTTCTGATTGTTGTGGACAAAGGTCAAAGCATATTTAGTTACAGTCTTCACTAAACAACAATTCTACCTTCCCATGCACATGAGCTGCAAGTACAGGGGTGGTTTCCACCATTTATTATGTGCAGGATGTTGTGGACCATTATTACAATGTAAAATACAAAACCTATAGTCTAATATGGTCTAAATAGAAGCACTTCTTTTAATATTTTGTTAAAAATTAAGTAACCATTGTAATCTACATTCTGATGGAGAGGAACAGAAGATATTAAAAAAGAAGGAACGCCCACTTTTAAAAGTAATCAGTGTTTTCCTTAGAACATTGCAGCAAATCTCAGTGTGAAAAGTGTTCAAATAATCAGATAGGTCCTTATACTTTAGCATCTGGTTCAAACTAAACAGCCAGTTTTAATCTTACAAATATTTATTGGAATAAGTGACAACTTAAGTATCAGAACTGATGTTACATAAATAGATGATAAAAAATTGAAATATGCTTACTCTTTTGTGATGGGAGCGTTCTGATTAAGGCACACAGTAAAGAAGCTGTACTTGATGTCCTCGAGAAACCTTTGCCACATCCAGCCATTTATTTCTAATAAAAAATTATTAAACTGTCAAAGTGGAGAACATTACACCTGTGGGATAGAGGAACACATACACTTTCTTGAAACCACGTAGCTGGTTTCAAGAAACCATGTAGCTCAAAACCTTCTACAACTTTCCACTAAATTGTATTATATAATGCAACAGAAATTTAAAAAAAATCTCTATTGGTAGTCCTTGACTTGCAACTTACAACGTTGGCAGCATCCAGGGGTCTTGGGATTGTCATTTGAGCCCTTCTTAGGGAATGTTGGACAAGTGGTAGTAAACAAAGTCAATGGAGGAAGCCAGATTTGCTTAGCGATCCACATGAATTACTTAACTGTAGTGATTTACTTAACCGTGGCAAAAGTCATAAAATGAAGCATGACTCAAGTAACAACTGCCTTGCTTAGCAATGGACATGTTGGGCTCAATTGTGGTCGTAAGTCAAGGACTACCTGTCCATGGGACATAAACCAAATTAATATAATTAATTTGTAACTGCGTTTAACTAAACAGGTTTAGTTTTTTGTCTTGGTCCATTTGCTTTTCTGGAGGTAGCTAGAGCATGGACACCCCATAGCATTCCAGTTAGAGGAAGATAGCAGCTATTCCCTAAACCAAAGCAAAAATGCCTGTTTTCTTGTTTCACATTTCAATCTTCCTGTTTGCTCCATCAAGACAAATCATGGTAGAGCTGAACAATGCTACACCTGTGTAAAATAAGAAATCCAAGGTCATGTTTAAATTCCACGGGAGTTGCGCTACTCAGATAGCAGAGCACTTCATTGACGATATTAGTGATTTTATTTCCTGGTTAGTTATAGATATCTTGGCTACATTTTGAAATATTAACTACAAGCAATGGAATACAGAAAATACATAGAAATGGTTCATTTTGTATTGCCCCTTCTCCCCCATCATCAGCACCCCATTGCATGGCACTAATCCAAGTGTCCTCCTCTTTGAACGGTGAGCACTTCCTGCAGCTGGTCAATTGGAGGCGGGCACTAAAATTAGCAGCTTGCCAGCGTTCTGTCATCTTCCTTGTTCTTATCTTGCCACATTTTTTCCTAGTAAGTTGGGACAAGTACAGCCCTAATAGACTCTCTGCAGGGGGAAAACAAAGCCATTGGTTATGCAATGATAAAGGATGGTGAAATTGTACCAATGTATCATAATATCTAGCTATCTGATATGAGTGGGGAAATCCAGGAGGCAGGATGAGGTGAGAGTTTCTACCAATAAGAAGCATTTTGCAGGATAGGAAATATTTTTGCAACATTTTCTCTGGAGTAGGAACCAAGCAGAAACTTAATCAACTTGACTTTTCATAGAGATACAGGGGTAGTACATCTGAGGACAGTTTTTGGAATGCAGCAAACATCAAAACAAAAATGAGGTGTCCCAACAAAATTATAATTAAACATATAAATCGTTTCCAGTATATCCCGTTTTTTTTAAAAAATCCTGGTTCAAATCAAATTGGGTCATGTAGTTGTTACAAAATGAAGTTTAGTCTAATGAGCTCTCAGAAAAAATGGAACTTCACAATTCTGGAACAGCCTATAAAAAATTCAGCATGTATTCTCAGGGCAGGTGTTCCAATGAACCCCAAGTGGTGCTGAAGATTTCAATAAGGCAAGCAGTTCCTTAAACTAGATGAATCCACACAATTCAGTGCTTGAGTTGAGCCAAGAAACCAAGACAAACACCATGAAAAATCCAAAACGCTGCTTGCTCTTGTTAAAATATTGCAACAATTTTTGACAGCCAGTCTTTGCTTGTCATAGGTATATGTCATAAACATAACTGTGTTGAGCTGAATTTGAAAATATGTGTGAATATTTTCATACAGAGCCCCCACTGTAACAATTTTCCTTTCTTTAGGAAAAGAGTAATAACAAACTAATCCTGGTCTGAGACAGTGCATTCATGCAAAGTTGTCTAGTTGAAGCAGAATGTGATAGGGATGCTAATTTGAATGCACACACAAATGCATATCCCACTGAAATGTCACCATCTGCACTACATTATTTTCGATAGGAATTGGATTAAAGCATGAATGACTACCCATGTTCTGTTCAACTACATGCAACTAAAGTCCGATTGGGGGAATTGTTCAGCCTGGTATAGGCAAGGGATAAAACCACCAGCATGGCACAACGCAACATCAAGAAATGTCCCAATCTCTTGAGTAGTGATTATGCTAACTCTCTATTTCTCAAGTTCAGAAGGGGCTGTAATAGGAGAGCATCACCAGTCAATGCAATGCCATCAAAAATCCACATTTATAAATAGAGGACACAATTGACAACAAATTGTTAAGTATGCTATTCCTCATTGGCTCTATTTGGGCATGAAGTAGACTACTCAATTAAAAAGTAGTTCAGAGGTGATGGCACACTGTGGACATAATAATCATAGACAGCTATAAAAATGCATTAAAAAAGTAGAAAATTATTGGTAGACCCTTTAACCCATCACCTCAAACAACCTTCCCAGGGAAACACAATAGAATACACCAATATTTAACCAGATATGATCCTACTGTATTTAAGATATGGAAAACCATTTATTGAATGGAAATTATCATGATGTGCATATTTGATTTAGATGAATTTTATGGTGAGATGTATAGAAGCTC